TGGTGCCACGCAGAGGGACCTGGGCAGGCTGGAGAGTGGGGCCGAGAGGAACGTCGGGAAGTTCAACAAAGGCAAGCGCAGGGTGCTGCACCTGGGCAGGAATAACCCCAGGCCCCAGGACAGGCTGGGGGCTGACCTGCTGGAAAGTAGCTGTGCAGAGAAGGACCTGGGTGTGCTGGGGGACAACAAGTTAATTGTGAGCCAGCAATGTGCCCCTGTGGCCAAGAAGGCCAAAGGGATCGTGGGCTGCATTAGGCAGAGTGTTGCCAGCAGGTGGAGGGAGGTGATCCTCGGCCTCTCCTCAGCCCTGCGGAGGCCTCCCCTGGAGTACTGTGTCCACTTCTGGGCTCCCCACGACAAGAGAGACATGGCGCTGCTGGAGAGAGTGCAGCGGAGGCCTACAAAGATGGTGAGGGGACTGGAGCACCTCTCCTCTGAAGAAAGACTGCAAGAGCGGGGCCTCTTTAGCCTGCAGAAGAGAAGCCTGGCAGGCGATCTCCTCCATGTGTACAAGTATCGGAAGGGAGGGTGTCAAGAGCACGGGGCCGGACTCTTCTCCGTGGGCCCAGCAACACGACAAGAGGCAACGGGCAGAAACTGAACCACAGGAAGTTCCATGGGAAGATGAGGAAAAACTTCTTCACTGTGAGGGTGCCCGAGCACTGGAACAGGTTGCCCAGAGACGTGGTGGAGTCTCCTTCGCTGGAGATAGTCAAAACCTACCTGGATGCAATCCTGGGAAATATGCTCTAGAGGACCCTGCTTGAGCAGGGGGGTTGGACTAGATGATCTCCAGAGGTCCCTTCCAACCTCAGCCATTGTGTGATTCTGTGAAATCCACCCAGGCCTTGAATTAAATGTTTCTTCCTTCACGTAACTCACTGATGAGCAAAAGGGAGTGTGGCTCACATCCCCAGTAGTCTGACTTGCTGCCAGCCTAACTCTCCTAGTACTATCATTTCTCTATTATTTCTTTTTTTTTTCCTAATAGTCCCAGGGCTGCCACAAAGACCAGGACTTGTGGGGCTCTAAGAGTAGCTGTATGTCAGCCGCTGTGTTGATACAGTGCTGGGTGGCGGCAGCTAGAGGCTGCGTGAGAACCCAGCAATTCCTGTATCCTGACATCGATTGCTGCTTTCTACTTTTTTTGAAAAGTTTTTTGAAAGTTTATGTGCAGTTCCCGCTCGACTCCTGAAGATGGCAAACGTGCCCCGTTATAGGTGCATGCGTACATTAACATACACTTGTCTGTAGGATTGTGTGTACAAGTTTTTATTATTGTTTTCCTGATAGTGTAAAATCCCAAGTTCATCTAACTGTGCATGCAAAGACCATCCGTTTCTTTCCCTTGCTGATCTAAGGATGCCTACAAATCACTTGAGCTTTTTTAATGCTGGTTTAAGCGTCACTGCAGATTCTTGACAGACATAGCTCTGGAGCTTTCTGCTGAGGAGGGAGGGAAAGGGGGCTTCATTATTTGCTGGGTCCTGGTTCACCTGCCTGGTGTCAAGCAGAGAAAGCAGTGCTAGGCCATGCTTCAGACTCATGGTGCCTCTGGTAACACTGAGGGGGGTGTATAATATCAGTAGGTGTGAGCTGAAAACTTGAGGACATGAAAGGCAACAGGTGAGACGGTGCCTGGGAAATATGGGCAGTGATGCTGAGCATCTCCAAAGGCAAAAGAAAATTGCTCCGATACCCTGGAGTGTGGTAACTATTTGGCTAGGTGGTTTGAAGAAGCTGTAGCAAAGCCTGTCAGACGGCATAGATAATGTATCTGAGACTTCAAGAACAGACTGTATTTTTTTGTGAGGATGTCTTTCAAGTGCAGAAGAAAAGAAGAAAAAAAACCCAGCAAAGAGGAAACTGCAAATTAAGTTCCACATGCTCGTCTGAGCATCTGGATGAATTGCAGCCCTTGAAAGAGCAGAAACATCCGGGGATCCTACAGAGTTGGCCCAGCCTCGGAGCTCAGGGCTGTGGTGCCTTCTCACATGTCTTCAGCCAAG